ATGGTATGAGCATCCAACCATATCTACCCTGAAAACATTACTCTATCCTTCTTCAGAAACATGCCTAGACAAAAAATGTGCTTCAAATCCCCAGTAGACTACATTTAAGATAAGCAGGTGTCATTATCTTTTTTTGACAATATTCATAATGGTTTTTGCATAAAGAGGACATATGATGACAGAAGAGCAACTCAAAGTGACAGGTATTACAGATGTAAATCCATTTGCTAGTGTCATTTTTGTTTCATTTCCCTCACCTCTGCTGCTAATTATCTGGGACAATTTGGGTAACTTTAAATCACGAAATTCAGATCTATAATGCTACCCACAGCTAAAAGGACACACTCATTAGGTGTGTTGACTCTGGAATACACGTAACACACTGAATAATCACTATTATTAATGGGGATGACAACAGTACCATCGGCCAGGAAGAGAGTTGTGCAATTCCTTCAGGACTGTTTGAGTCATTACTCTGTGTTAACCAGAATGGCATCCACACTACATCACACCTCAGAGGTGTCCTGCCCCTTCCCTGCTCTAACTAAAGGTGAGAGCAAACCCACCCCAACTCAGCCAGGAAACACTTCCTGAAAACACTCCCATGGCAGTGTAGAGTGTACACTGCTCTTTTCTGACTAATCATTTTGCTTTTGGTGCTTTTAATTCCACCCCTCTGTTAATATTAGCAACATATCAGTGTCCTTTACTTTCTTAATGAGAAGACAATTTTGTCATTGCCTGTGCATCAGTGTTTAGATATTTTCCTTACACTTCTTTGAAGAGTTAATCTGTCCATTTGCTCTGTCACTTACAACAGTGCCCTACTGCTTGCAGGGTCTACTCAGCTGTCTGCCAGGGAGTGTAGTGGAGTTACACACTGCACACATGCATAAATAATACTGTGAATTAAGAGTTTGCAAACTATGACTGAGTACACATACATGCTGCTAACACTGCCTTCACTGGGCTCTGTGTGTGTGCCAAACTGAAGAAAATCAGAGCCCTGAAAACACCTATTAATTCATCAGGCAGGGAGTTGGCAACCGAGATTTGGAAGCTTTATCGTTCTCCTTGTTTCTGTATCATTTGAGAATGCCCTGAAAGACGTTGGGAACTGCTCTCCCTTCAAAAGCCCCTTTAACTCTCATCAGGCAGACTTAACATAGCCAGAAAGTCACCCACACACAGGCAGAATGATTTTACTTTTATCAGAAGACCATGGAGGATATTGCACTTAGAATGGGTATTAAAAGACATCTGTACCAGCTGGCTGCTGAGTCTTCTTCATCTGATGGCAAGAAGGGCAAGTCTAAAATTAAATAGCAACCACAAAAAACAAGACAGACCCTCTCAGTTTCTATTTGTTCGAGTCTATGGAGCTGCAAAACCCAGCAGGGACCACTGACCAGGCCCAGGTACCCACAAACATGGATCAAGTTTGAGTGGAGGTTGTGCTGAATGTAACCGAGTGGTTGCATGAACAAGAGTAAAAGCACAGGAGGCCAAAGAGCTCCCAGCTCACTTCTTTCTGTCTTCGTATCAATCTCAGAACTGAACATTTAATAGAAATTATTCAGTGCACCACTGTCATATAAAGGGCAGATATAAAGAGAGGAAGGATAAAGAAGCCTAAAGTGAATATCAAAGCCTCACCCTAACAAGTCATAATGAAGGGAAGAAGTAACCCATTTTTCTTCCCTTCAGCATGGCTTGTGCTTCATATTAACAAGGGGCACATTAATAAATTTAACTCAGACAAATTTAAGCATCCTAGGACCACGTTAATCAAAAGCCTGACAAGAGCAATCTGAAGGAGTTGAGGAAGGGAAGTAAAGCACAGCTGACACAGAGGATGCCATGCATTCATTCTCCCTGGGAACTTCCAATACAAAATAACTCCTTCCCACTGCGCTCCTACCAGGCTGACCCTGCTGCCTTCCCAGCACTCCTCACCCACCCAATGCCTCTTTATCTGTGATGTTTATCCCTGCATGTCTATATTTGAGAAAGATTTAGACCACTTTCAGTAGGATCATGTGCAGGAGCTACAAAGTCCTGGTGAGATTTGTGCCACTGGCATTGCTAAAAAGAGACTCTCAAGGTACAGATTAACACATGTAACAAAGGCAACATAAATTTGACAGGAAATCAAAATTACTATAGCTTATGAAAACTATGCATTGGCCTGAACCAGAAGGAAAAAACAAGGGCTGTCCATTTTTATTCCTTATCCATGTGCCAAGTTCCTCAGTGCTGGAGCTCCACATTCCTTCCCAAGATAAAATACCCATGCATGGAGACTGCTCCAAGCCACACAATTTATTGCAGAGAAATCCACCACCTTTTGGTCTGTTCATATTTAGCTCTAAGTTGCTGCTCTTGAGTTATGTTTTTTAGCATGGAAAACATTGACAAACAGGTCCTTCCATCAGCCAAAACACTTCACAGAAAGATGGGTATGTCATACAAAATGAGGAAACTGAGAAGTAACTGCTGATCAAAGCCACACAAAGCAGCACAAATTAGACTAAGTGCATCCCCAAAAGCCATAATTATCCAAGCTACTCAAACAAAATAAGCACATACATGATTATTCAGATTTGCCTACAGGCATCCCCACAGCATAAAACATGGTGTGCTGCCTTGCTGTTCTTCCACTAGATAAAACAATAAATATTTTCGTCACTTAAGAGTATTGGTGTTTACTTTTACAGTCTTGAAAACTTGAGGGAAACTGTGTTGCCTTGACAATGTCTTTCCCCCAAAAACCTTCTTTTTCAGTTGGACAACTGGAGTTTCTACATGTTTGGTTTTGATTGGGTTCTGTGGTCTCATGGATAGATGTAGGAAGCCTGCAAATCTTATTGTAGTGCAAGGCTTCAGAGGAAGGGTTTAGTGGCACAGGATTTCATGGCATTTCAGGGAGAACTGTAAGCTCCCACTGCCTTCATGTACTACCACAAGGCAGGAGATAATTATTTCTATTGAAAATAAAGAGGATTTAAGCCACATAATTGGGATTTTAACCTAGATGCAGTATATTAAATAGTCTGCAGCACTCAGAAAAATTGTCTGTCAGAACTGTTCATAGATACCTTATGAAGCTTTCAGCAGATGGACTGAATAAGCAAGCCAAGCCTTGTCTTTGCAGACAGGTTAACAACCTTTGAAAACCTGACAGGCTCTGTTCTAACACTGCAAAAAGCAGTCTAACATACTCTGAGAGTACAGTGCTCCAGAAAATGGCCATGCCTCCCAACATGGCCACATTTATATCACAATACTTTCTTGAAATTGTTGGTTGGTTTGTTTTGTTTTGGGTTTGTTTTGCTTTCCTATGGCAAAACACTTCTTTCAGAAAGTCCTTTCAAAGCCAAAAGAGCAAAAGTCCAACATTTAGGATATTGACTCCTCATGTGACTGACTCATTCCAAGCCCTTGCTGAGATAAATCCAAACATTAGCTCAGCTTTTGCTTTGTACCACCACTGGAAAGGGCTTCTCACTTGGGCAGAAGATCTTGTTCACTGCATGCCTCTTCCAGACAGCTCCAATCCTCAAATAAAATATTCTAACTTACTTTCACCTGCCCCCTTGAGAACTTCTGCCATGATGTGTCAGCAAATAACACCTGACCAGGTGATCACCTGCCATGTGCCAAAGGTGCTTTAGCTAACCAACCTCCTCCTTCCCACCACTGCTTTTCTGTATCATCATTATCATGGGAAAAAAGTGCTTAAGGGCAGGAAACAATTAAACCTGTGTATGTTCATGCACGTTATAAATTCCCCATGTAGCCTGTACTTAGCTATTTTGCTTTAATACTTCAACCAAGGAAAGCATGTTCATGACAGAAATTTGTTAATCCAGGGTAAAAGCTGAATTTGTAATCAAGTCATTACAGTAAAAAGGTATGAGCTGTGGATGATTACACTGTAATGTCAGCATAGCTGCAGTCACTCTGCTCTAAACCTGGACAAAAAAAAGATAGCAGTAAGTTTCACCAACTCTCATATTTCAGCTCCTTTTTAGTTCAGAAGGAGAAGACTGCAACGAGAACTGTGGTTCATGTCACAGAATCCCTCTGGATTCTTCTAGCCTAGTATCTAAGTGAGGTAATGAAAAATATTCATTAAACATCCAAAAAGATCTTAAGACAATTTAAATATTCACAGGCCTCAAAGGTCTCAACCCGTGTTATATTTGAAGACATAAAAAAATTCACTGTATACCTTGTTCCTGATTTAAAAAAAAAAAAATGAACCTACATGTAAGTAGTTAATGATTTAGGCTCTAAAATCAAAGCTAACCCACATGATGCTAAGCAGAATTTTATCACTTGCTGTTGAGTTACAGAAACATGCATATCTTAAGGCCACTGAAGGTCTAAATCTTTGGCTCTCAAAATGAAAAATAACCAGTTCCAGATATAAAATGGCAATTATAATATTTACTATTAAACAGTACATCATCGGTACGGTCTCAAACAGAATGCAAAGAGCTATATTGTGTCCAGATGGAGCTACTGGGCACACTGGAGGAGCTGGAATTTCACCAGAACACTTCAATTGCTGGTCCAGCTGGGAATGAGTTATCTTGGTTTTGAGGGTTTTTTTCAAGCTTAAGACTTCAAAATACATAAATGATTTTAATAGAAAACATAAAATACAAAATAAATAAAATACAAAAAATAATCTTGTTGAATTAGTTATTTCACAGTTTTCTGCTCTAGGAGATATTTTATTTTGAACTTTTCAAATGCTTTCCATCATTGAAGAGAAACTAGAAGTACAAAATGGCATCAATTCTCCTCCCTCCTCTATGCAAACCTATAATTTTTAAAAAGCATCATAATTGGCTATTCCTCATATTTATATTCCTTTTTCCAAAATGAGAAAGACAAGAAAATCAGCATGTTCACAAAGAGGTTGTTATTGTCACTGCTGACACAAGCACAGCTCACCAGCATCTTTTTTAACGCTTCATTGGGCTACTTACAGAATTGCTCCAGGTCATCTCTGTTTTTAGACTCAGGCATGGCAGTGATTGTGAGCAATGGGCATGGATTTCCTCCTAGAGTCTGGCAGAGCGTCTGCTGCCTCCAGTAAACCTTCTTAGGGTTCCTATTACGTTCCAGGATATCAAGATGGGACTGAAAATGAAGCATGGAAGCAGATTCATAAAGGAGTTCATGGTCTATAAAACCTCATTTTATTCCAGTAGCTGTATATTATTTTTGATACTAATTTCATATCTTGCTAACTTCTCAGCTCCTCTCTTTGGCCAGTTAATATCACCACCTTTTACATCCCACAAAGATACACAAGCCATTCACAGTGCATCCCAGCTCACTGAAGCTACACAGAATATTTATTTTTATATCATGATCTACTTGAGGGTGTCCCTTTTTGTTGCAGAGGGGTAGGACTAGATGACCTTTAAATGTCCCTTCCAGCCCAAACTATCCTATGATTTTGCCTGAACAGTTCCTAGGTGCTTTTGTTAGCATAATGAAATTTCTATGCATACATGAAATCCAAAAGAGAAGCATTTACTCTTCACATTTTAATAAGGGTTTTGTAGAAATGTGAGAAAACCACCACTTTTGAACATTTACAGAATTGATTGCTTAGCTGTCAAGCACATGCCAGTGAAACTCAGTGACAACTCTGTATCAGAGGCAGCCAAAAAGTTTATATTGAAACAACATTTTGTACAATCAGTAGTGGGGAATTTGAAGAGTGTCTTTCCAAGAAGCTATTTAAAATGGGAGATCTCCCCACCCCCAAAGTTTATGACAATTTTTTTTTATGACAAGTTTTAAACAATTCTAAAGTCCAACAGCTTCTTGAGAAATTTGAGAAAAAGAACTGGCAGCTTAGAAGAAAGACTCTTTGGAACAAATTACGATTGCCTCATTAGACACGGAGCCACTTGTCACCCACACAGCAGATGAAGTGTAGTTCTCTGTTTGCACTGCAATTGTGAGTGTGAGCAATGCCACTGCGGGGTGTTGCCGAGTGTTGTGGAACACCAGTTGTCTCCCAGTTGGCAGGAATAGGTGCAGTGAGCACACTTGTCCCAACAATAACTAAAACACATCAGCTCACTCCATGTCCCTCACAGGATGAGGTTTGTCTCTGTGTGTCAGGGTTGAATTTTAATCCACATTTATGGGACACCACATTCCTCAAACCTTGAGGCTCACCAGTGTTTCAGACTGCTTTGCCAGAATCCAAATGGAGCCATATAAACACAGAACTGAAATTTAAAGTCAGCTATGTTATAAAACAATTAAAATACAGCTCTATAAAGTAAATTCAATTATTAGATGCATTTAACAATCTCATATAGATACAGAGAACTCAATATCACCATTTACTTATGTTCCTGATACCCAGTGAAACTTAATTGGGTATAGCTACCACAGAGATTTCAGCTAGATATCAAAACAATTAATACTGTGTTGTAAAAATAGATAAATTACTGTTTATAGAAGAAATGTAATTACTAATGGACAAGAAGTAATGAACTGCAGAGTGCATCCAGTTCAAATAGGATTCTGCAATATTTCCTCCAAATATGCCTATAACCATTAAATATATATGATATTTAAAAACATTTTAAAATTGTTAACTCCATATACAAATTTTTCTTCTTCCCCAAAGCACTATGTATTTAATTGAGCCCTTGGGTTCATAATCATTTTTAATTTATTATTGATATGTAAAACCAACAAACTTCACCAGTGGACAAGTGCTTTAAAATGCAATCTACTGATGCACAAACCTGATTTAGTTTATTTACTGTGGAAATAAAAGTAAAATGGAAATGTGTATAGTGCATCACTTGACATTTTAAATTAGCCCAAGCAAAGAAGCCTTTCAGAATTATTAGTAGTGATTTTGCTATGGATAGAGCTGGACATGATAATTTATCAACCTTTTCCACCCATAACTCCCATTTACTAAACTTTATGGTCCTTATTGTGTCTGAGTTCGTTTAAACTTTTCCTGGGGCAAAATTCCCTTTAACTTCAATGAGCATTTTATTTAAAAAGACAGTGAAATTTTAAAGACCTGGTCCTGCAAGCCCTAGGAATAACATCTTTTTCATCTCCATTCCATTCATTCAGGAGCAGGTGAGATATTCAGTGATTCCCAGTGCACACAAACTCTCCAAGTCTCTCTTGCTTTGTGCCAGCAGAAGATAGAAATCAATAACAGTAAAATAATGATGAGACACTGCATTTATGTGAAATGTATGGTGGTGAGTAAGTCTGACCAATTCTTCAGTATCACTTTTGGTTTTTACCCTGCAGACTGTAGATATTTGTGCCCTCAGGGCTAAAGGTCAGAGCTCACCACAGGAGCGTACACTCCTCCCTGGGGAATTTTAGGAGTAACTGGGGAGGTACTGATGAGAAGTGAGCTGACAGACATGTTTTGGACTGAAGGCTGGACTGTCTTTCTTCCAGATATTGGAAGCAGTTTCTTTGAATGTCTAAAATGGGATGTGCAACAGTTGACAACAAAAGGTTTTCTGGAGGGGGAATCAATCTAAGCCTAACTCTAGCGAGTCCTGTGGAGGACACTGCTCCCTGGAAACCACAGCCTCCAAAATCTGGTTATGGCAAACTGATCTCATTATAAAAAACAGAGTGACCTCAAACTCCACCAACCCACACGAGCATGTATTGCCCAAAATAAAATGTGTTTATAATGGAAACTGAGGTGAGAAGAAAGCAAAACTGATCTACTGGAACTGTGTGGTTTCATTTGCACCGTTCTCATCTTTACCATCAAAGCAAAGATACTCCCAGAACTATTCATTTCACTCCTTTCATCCTATCTCCCCTTCAGACCCTGGTCTCCTCTATATCAATTATAGAGAAAATACATTGGATGCATTTCCCAGAAAATTCCCTTACCATCCACCCCTTTCCACAGAAAAGGCTGTGGAACACAAACCCGTGCCCAGCAAAAAAACTTGGTACAACTCAGTAACTACATTTATGCTTTGAAGTTGTATTCTTTTAGTTTCTGTACTGACAGCACTGGTGGGAGTGTCACAAATTCCTCCTGACACTCCAGCTGGCACTGAGGCAAGAGCTGGTGAAGTGTCAGCTGAGGTCCAGCAGCCTGGTAACTCTGGGTGTAGCTCTGAAAGCTGGGCTGTTACCCTGTGTCAGGAGGAGGATCAGGCAGCACATCTGAGTTGCCATTAGGTTTAGGCCCCTGCTTCCCAGCCCCCCAGGAGGAGGATGCTGCCACCCCAAGTGAGTGGAGACACCTTTGGTCTGTATTGTGATTGCTATAAGCACTAATGGTTTGTGCTCAGCTTATTCCAAAGATAAATTTCATTTCTTCTACAGCCTTCTGGGCTTTGCAGGTGGCAGGAACTGCAGCTGTAAACAAGGCAATTGCACCATCGCAATCACAGAGTGGTTTCAGTGGGAAGGGACATTAAGGATCATCTCATTCCAACCCCCCTGCCATGGGGAGGGACACCTTCCCCTATACCTCGCTCAAAGCCCCATCCAGCCTGACCCTGAACACTCACAGGGATGAGGAGGTGTGAAAGCAATCCTCTGTGCCTCAAAACCTACACACACCCAAGCAGCTCCAACCTGCCAGGGCCATTATCTTATCTGGGGGGACATGTCAGTATTACCATCATTGTGGAGTAGGTGTAGGGGTAGTGGTAGGCCAGGTAGCAGACATCATCTTGGTGAGGGAACTTGATGCTGAAGGTGAGTGTGTAGTAGAACCTTCCCCTCACACCTCCTCCTGCAGCTGCACTGCAGCGGTAGTGGTTTCTGGAAGAAGAAAAAGAAGAGGGAAGTAAATGCTTTTCACTTCTAGATGTGCATTAGAAGCAGCCATGGGAAAAATGAGCATTCAGAGAAGAATCCACACAAGATGGGGACAAAGCCCAGCAGGGAGTCAGGAGGCAGAACTGCAGCTGGCAGTGCAGGACACAGCCAGTCAATGTGCTGCTGGGGAATGGGAGCACTCTACTAGGAAAATAACATCCATTAATGCTTTGTTTTGTTAAGATGCAAATAAAGAAGCAGTCAGCTAATAGTAGCTCATACAGCAGAGTCCAGACATATTTAAACTATGTATCCAGCTAAAACTGCTGTATTTCTTCAGATACCCACATTATATATTGCTCAGAGATGCAGGTTCCTATTCACAGCCCTGAACAATGCCATGAGAAAATACTCTGCAAAAAGCCTAGAGATTTAGAAAATATGAATACCCTACCAAAGCAACTGTTCAGTTCCACCACAGGAAGAAAAGTGATATTCCAGGAATAAAAATAAATAATAAATAGGACATACATAAAAATATTTCATATAACAACAAATGCACTTGGCTGAGTAGGAAGAAGGGGAGAGTGAGTTTAGATACAGATTGAGCATGAAGGAGAAGTGACCTCCTACAGATTTGACAGCTGTGACCTACTCTAAAATTTCTTTGTATCACTCTTTTTTGAAGAATTGAGCCTCTCCCTCTCAGGGAGCAGTGCTCCCTAAAAAATAAGGAGCTGAGCTTGGTATGGAAGACAGAGCAGGGAACTCTCAAGGCAGGGTCATCTCCCACAGCACCTGATCAGGGCACGCCTGTGGACATCAGAGGGGTTCCACCACAGGTCCAGATCATCAGACAGGATTGTGGTGGTGAGGCAGGTCTGGGTCCAACCAGCAGGTCAGCTCACGTGTCAGGATCCAGATCAGGATGTGTAGCAAAGCAGGGACACAGCAACAGAGACACAGCTTTGACTGAGCTGAAACCTCACTGCAGCACAGCTCTGGTCAACACTGGCAAGGTCTGAGAGCACACAAATCCCTGACACTGCCTTCAATAAAATTACAAAATCTTATAGCAAAAGCTCAAGTGTCAGGACCTGATCTCTTGCAGGAGACTTCCTCTGATGAAGAGATGACTTCAGGCTGAGTAGGGAAGTTTTCTCTCAGCAGAGATGAAGTGACAAATCATGCACTTTAGGGAGAAGCCTCAGAGCATATTGCATCCATAAGTACATTTCAAACAATATTTTTCCCACATTGCACCAATTATGTTGTTGCCAAACCTTCTGATTCTGAAGGACTGTGAGGTTTCTTTGACAAATGTTATCATCAATGTTGCATTAAGATGCAAAATAGAAGAGGCAACAAAAAGATGCAATTTCAGCTCCTGAATTTTACAATACTAGTTTATTTTGCTGCTGTTCATTTTTATTCAAAGGGGTGGAGAGAAAAGATAATTATTCTTGTCAAATTCTCCAAAATAATCAGCTCTTTTTCATAAGGGAGAGACAATAAATGCTGCTAGGTTTTTACTTGAATTCAATAGTTAGGAACATGTGGGGTGAGTGATACCGATTGGATCAATAGAGAGTGCAGGAACACTGAGCCACAGTGGAAACCTGAAAAGCCTATGGTTTTATTCTCAGTTGAGCCCTTTACCCCAACATATCCTTTGCAAATAAAGGACCTTAATACTGGACAAGGAGACTCAGGAAAAAAATTCAATAAACCCACAAATACAGAAAGATGTACTTAGCATTTATATATGTATTTCACTGGATTGAGGGTTAAAGTCTGGTATTTTTTGAAGTCAGAATAATGACATATATTTCCTGTTAATTTTGACAATGAAGGATAATTAAGAATCATTTCCTGCATGGTGCAGAAGAAAAATGCTTATCTCCATGGCCTCTATTATACTCAGTGTCACTTGGAAGGTTAGACCACCTTATTCATAAAGAGTGGTCACAAAAGTGCTGAACTCTTCCAAGTCCTCCCCTCCAAGTTCACATGTGTAATTAGAGGTGTGGGAGGAAGCAGGTCTTTGCAGGCAGGTACTGCCTAAACATCTCACATGAACATCATTCCCACCTGTCCCTAACACTCCAGAGTAAAGGCTTCTCCCTCTGTAGTCTGATTCTGCAGCCAAGTGTCCTCTCCTACGCAAAATGGTCACTTGAACCCAGGGGTTTTGCAGCAGGAGATCCCTCTGACCTTGATGCTACACTGGTGGCTCAGTCTTCCTCACTCCTGCCTGCTCAGACCTGATCCTGAGGGCAGGGATGCACAACTCCCTCAGTGCTGCTCAGCAGCATTTCATCCTTGTTCCGAGCATCTCTGCTGTTCCACCTAACTACACACCCAGAAAAGACATTTCCAGGCTTTTGAATCACTTCTTGACATCTGTTTCAATCTATAGCAAGCTAGCTGGCAGCAACAGGAAGTTTACAGGCTTTGGGACGCTTCATTATTCTTCACTCCTGCATTAGAAAGAAAAACCCCCTGTGTGTAAGCAGTGTAAATGGCCATGTACTTTTACTGTATATAATCTGGTCTCCTCACAATCCATCACACAAAGCAGCAGCTCTGAATACTTTTAAAAGAAACCTAAAAAAAATAACGTTTTCCTCTGTGCCTCCCTCTCCTCCTACTGCTGTCAAGGCAAAAGAGCTCTACTGCTTCCTTTTTCCTCCACCAGATTGATGTTCTTTAGTTCCTCACCACTTTTTCATCACAACACTCTACCATATCAGCATGGAGCATAAAGTAACAAGCAAGGAAAAAGGAAGGAATAAAAGACTTTGGAAACATCTGGTCTCCACTACCTTATTTGTCTTCTCTTTCAAAAACATGTTGAAAGTCTCTCATGCTTTCTAGAAGCCAACACAGTGGTTATTGGAAAGAAAAAAAAGTGACCAAAGTGTAGTTTCCTCAATGAACATGTAAGCTGTAGCTACTCTGCCTTTCAGTCATGTTGTAGTAGTGAAATCATTTTGCTTGCTGCTCTCCTTCAGAAAAAAATACACAAGTATTGTATTTCCAGCATAGCAGTGATGAAGAGTTAATTAATAATAATTACAATACTACTTATCTTTGACTCTGCAAGATAATTTTCTGGGCTTAAAAAAAAAGTCTTTGCGAACACTATGTGATTAAAACACGCTTCCCCATTTATCGATTCCATTCTTTGCATGGTAGATAAGTGACTCTAATTTTCCACCCTTTTGGAGGTAGGGAAACAGACATAGGTGAAGCAGCTTGGATAAAGATGCAGGCAGGAAAAGAGGCTGGGTTGTAACTGAGGAATTCAAAAGCACCAAGTGATTCAGGAACAATATCTCTTGGCCATCTGATCTTTAGACTTCCTATCTGCAGCATTTGGTGTCGTAAAAAGCACTGTTAGGTGATGGAATATGGCATTTTCAGCTAAGACTAAAGTGGCCAAAGAAAGTATCAACATCCCAGACTTTTGGGACAGTTCAAAACAGACTTCAAAGGGAAAATATAATGATTCTCTCTTCTAATCTATTGCTGCACTCCCTCGGTCCAAAACACTTCCCACCTGGAAGTGGTATTGGTGTCCTCATTTTCCATGTCTTCCTTACATCTCTAAGTGTGGTTAGTAAGTGCAAGATGCTTTAATAACACACTGGCTCATACCATAAAAAACAGGATTTAACAATTTACTGGGCATGGCTGCTACTCTGGGCTCTGCCACATTGGAAAGCAGAAAATGCACAGCACAACTTCCTTTCCAAAGGGCAAATCCGTGATAAGGTATTTTTGTTGCCAATATTCCAGGCAGAATCCCAGCTGAAATAGAATAAATATTCCCCCAGCCATTGTGCCATTAAGGTGCTCAGTCATACTGCAAAGGCCAGGTGCTCTCAGAGTGAGACTGATGTCTCACCCTCTCACAGATATCATTAGAGCTGAGAAGTGACCTGGTAATGTTATGATGTTTATTTCATCTAATGTGATTATAAAGATGCTGAAAAGAGAAGACCTAGTTTTGACATCATTATGATCACTAAACAGCCAAGTTTTTAGTGCTGATGTGAGAACAAAACACTCCATGTACCTCATTACTATCTGACCTGACTACTGTCTGAAAAAGCTGAAGGTTAGATAATATGCTTAGAATGAGCCATGAAACCAAAGGCACAAGCACATTGTCACCAATTCAACACTCAGCTGCCATTGTTCCTTAACTAATTTGCCAGAACGGAGTATTATTCAGTGCATAAAAGCTGCCAAGACAGCAAGAGAATTAGATGATCTTATTGTAACTGCAACTGTTTATCATGGGTGTATCCTGTCACTTCACAGAGAGGCAATAAAATAGAGCAGAAGTGTCACTCAGCTACTTTTTGACAACAGCTCTGCTAGTATTCTCCACCACATAAAAACGCTTGTGAGACATATGAGAAAGGTACACAGTGACACAGCTGTGCCACAACATTCATCTTTATGAGTGAACTACCCCATCCACAGGGAAGATAAATGCCAAGGATCAGCCAACCTGCTTCACACAGACATCTCACCAGTGAGCTTTTCCTCCCCCTGTCCTTCAGCTCAGAGGTGTCTCTCAGTACAGGCCCTGCTGCAAAAGCAATTAAAGGCATCCCTAGGCTCCTCTGTATTTTTGAATATCTTTTCCCATATTTATTAAAAATTCCTGGTAAAAATAATTGGATGAGATTCCCTTCAAAATATGCAGCCCCATCTTAGGATACCTGTGACCAGGGTGAATGGGACTGAAGTGAGCTCTTTCCCCAAAATACTGGCAGTGTGATATCACTGTAGCAATCCCATCTCCTTTTCTGAAACAAAGCCTGAGTACCCCAACCACACTAGTTTGACATTCTTCCCCCATAGAGCTTTTAAGGGCTAAAAATCACTTTTATAATCAGTGAAATAAAAACACTGAAGTTTCAGTAGAGGTGAAAACGTATTTATGTGTGTGCATGCACATTCTTGTGTATACAAAAGTATGTGAGAACCAGGAACACATAATAAATGAGAGACAAGTACTTATCCTAGATGATTATGTTGACATATAATTCAATGTACAGCTAGAAAACACAGAATATTCCAAATCAATAAAACAATTCTCTCATATATTCTGAACAAGAATCTGATTACTGGCTTAATTGCACAATCATGGCTTAATCTTGGAAGTCAGCTGCTGTTTAATCACTGCACAATAACTGCCTTGTTAATGATATGGGAAGCCACTGTAATGGTATCCAGCATGAAAAGTTTGCCCATACTCAGAGAAGTCAGAGATGACAGGCACATAAAGAGAAGCCATTGCACCATATATGTGAGCTCTTGAGGAAGAAAAGGTTACGGTCAGGTGCATGACGGTCAGCAAAGAGTACTTAAAATAAAATGCAATAGCGACTCAAATTGCTGTAGACAGATGCCAGACTGAGAGAAGATAACCTGTGCCTTGAACTGCCCCACACCTCAACCCTGAAAAAACAAAAAATTACAAGAGAAATTGGGACAACTTGGAATTTTCTTCTGAGGCTCTGGCACACTGCAAAATCATCCTGAAACAGGGAACCTGCACACATATCAGCATTGGGCTGGACAGGATTCCTTTACACCACTGCTCTATATCCAACCCATTCTTTAGCTCCTCAGCTCCTTTATCTCTTATAAAAGTCAGTGTATGCAACAGAAAAACAACGATCCCATCCAGATCTTTTCTTCCCAGACAGGGGAAAGAACAACTACACTACTCCTTTCCTTCTCCTCCCTCCTGGGCAAGGGAATTCTGCATATTCCCTGGCATCTAATAGTGAGATCTCACTTATGGCTGTTTTCTGAGAGCAGAGGCACACAAGACATTGAGCCAGCACAAATTTAGCCATTTGATATAGTAGGCACTGGTGGCAAGAGGCTCATGACATCAGCAAACTTAACAGGAGAGAAACAGTGGAGAAAGGAAGGCACAAATTATTGACCAAAAGCGCACTTACTTGTAGTAGCAGATCTCCTGGCCTGCCCGAATCCAGCGAGGTCTGCCCTGGAGAGCTTCCCTCACTGAGTACATGACCAGCTGCATGCCTACAGAAAACAAGACACTTTCAGGTGATGGGACTTGCCTGGCTGGAAAAGGAAGGAGTGGGAAGGAAAATGTCATCGCACCTAATCCAGGTTTGTCCCATGTTGGGCACCACAAACTGTTCCTGCACCTAATTTTGATCGGCCCAGGCTAGCCCCTGGCATGGCAGCACATGTGTGGCATCCCCAGAAAGCCACAAAATCAGAGGTATGGCTGGTGAGTTGTGTGGGTCGGGGTGGTACATTCTACAGCTTTTGATATTAGTGAAAGTGCAGAGGACATGGGTAAAGAATGGAAAGGAGCCTTTGGTGTGAGTCCCAGACAGGCTTATTCCCCAGAGAAATCAGGCACCAAAAAGCTCCAAGCATGCCTGTGCTCAGGATTTTATACTGCAGCGACTCAGTGGGCGGGTACCAGCAATCAGCCAATGGGAAATCCAGGAGGGAGGAGCAATGGGAGGGGATTACAACACAGGGACCAACAGGGATGAGGGGGAGGAGAGGACTGGTCACACAGGCCAATGGGACCTCGAGGGTTAAGGGCTAACAGCGAAGGGTCCAGAACAAAGGGCAGGGTTTACAATGATGGACAGGGAAGGGTCTGGAATAAGGAGCAGGGCCCATCATGACGGGCAGTCAGGAACTTAAAGTGATTGGAAAAGTGGGAGATTGACATAGACCATTCTGGAAAATAGGGAAAGATCTTGGGATGAATGACATTAGGGAAGGAGTTTATGCAGAGTAAATACATTCCCAAAACCCTGTGTTTTGTTCTGTGACAGCCATGTCTGTACAAAAAGCCCCTCCAGAACAAATTAGCTGAATGGAGTTTATTAAAAAATAAATTATTCTTCTGGCCTTTGCAAAGCATTTTGTTTACAAACAGAGGAAGGGAAAGAAAATAATATGAATCAAGGCATCAACAAGATCAGTAATTTGGTTAGTCCAATATTTTATGCTTGGGTGCACTAATATTGAACTCTTAATCCCACACAGCATCAGAGATCTGTGGTGCATCTAGTACCCTGCCTTCCAAAATCAGCAAGCAAAACTAGAAGGTTTTAAACTTACTAGACCTAAATAACATTTATGTGTCATAAATACTGACAACAATAGCATCCATCTTTGTACTGCATCACCCCAGAGCATGACTTATTCCTGACCTCCCAAACATTACCATTTCATGCCCTGAGGGACAAGGCTTTCTCTGATCTGAGCTGCACATCCCTTACTCGCAGCTCCATGAAGCCAGCCCCCTCTGCAGGGAGTTTTTGTATCAATTTCCCTTGCTGTACACACCTGCCTGCCCTCTAGGGCAGGGTGGGGATGCTGCCCTCCCCAGCAGAGCTCTCTGCACAGGATGTGCCTGGCCAGGGGCTGCAGGGGAGGCTCCTGCCAGCAGCTCCAGCAGCCCTGCACAGCCACAGCTGAGCCCAGCGATGATGCTGGCACCACTTCTGTGAGAGCACATTCAAGAAAGAGAAAAATGTCCTCCCAAGTATTTTTGCATGTTGATAAGTTGCCCCCTGAGCCTTCTCTTGGATGTTCTTGTGCTAGGGGAGGTGATGCTTGACAATGGTTAATACTGATGACATATTTGCATTAACAGCTATTCAGTTCCCTGCTTCCTCTGGGTTTCTCTGTTAAAGTCTGCATCGCTGTCAGAGCCAGAAGCATCAGCAGCAATGCCTTTCCAGCTCACCTTTGGCTGTGCTGTGGGGCAGCACTAACTCACCACAGCCAGGAGTGGCCTCTACAGTGCTGTTTTCTGAACCAGTGCTGTGAAGTGGCCTCTACAGTGCTGTAAAAAAAATCAGTTTTTCCTCTTTACTTCTCCTGTGGAAATGTTCAGTTTTAGAAAACAACTGAAATCAGGGTTCTGATGAAATCCTATTATTTCCCATGGTAGAGTACATTAGTGCAAGAGTGGGAAGGAGAGAGGTGGAGGCTGCGCCTCCCGTCTTGCTCTGCTCCTGGCCACAACTACTTCATTAAATATCCTTTCTGCTGATTTGAAAGTCACACAGTGACATCTAACCAAGAGCAAATGGGAAAAAAAATCAAACCAGACAAGTAACCAGGAGCTGTAAAGAATTACCACCCAGGGCACTTTGGCACTCCATCACAACTGGAGGCTTTTTGTCTCAGAGTGTGGGCATTAGCCCAGGAAGGTGCAGAGGGAATGTGACAAATAAACAGCATCTCTTACCACTGCTCTGTAAATGCTATGCATGTGCTGGAAGGGGTAGCAAGCTTTGTTCAGCCAAGCCAGAAAAGCTGGAGCTTCACTGCCCGCTTGGAGCAGCATAAGGAACTCACAGAGGAATTGTTTAATAGCCAATCCCATGAACAAGCCATCCAAAAGCCAGCCATGGCTTAGCCTCCCTCCTTAGTCCAGATGGTATCTTCACATTTCTCTTCCAAATATATTTTTCATTGCATGCTTGAACATGTGAGTCATGCACAGTTTCAGGTACACAAAATGAGATTATAAATGCTGACAACAGCCAAACTAGCAGATAACAGCCTTCCACCAATAATGGCCTAAATCTCTGGCTACAAGAGTGAAGGCACTAGGGTATACATTGATTGCATTGTGGCTGAAAACAGGACATCAACATCCTTCATTTTCAGGCTTCTACCACACACACCACACTGAATTGTTTGGTAATTCAGGTAAGCAGTATAAGATGAACAAAAAATTCTGTTTGGGTCTGTATGAATACTTTAACTTCATCCCTTTGGGTTAAAGGGCAAAAGCCTTTTAATTTGTCATGTCACTTATCCAGCCAGTTTCACACATACAAGCAATTCCAGTTCCTAATGCTGTTTGTTACAGGTGCATTGATCCTCAGAGAGTCGTCCTGGTGATGCTAGAGGCTGTAGCCACAGGGGTTCAGAGGAATGCAAAGTCTAATACTATGGACTTATTAAACATTCTGAGTCAGGTCTTGAGCTGGTGTAAATTAACAGAGCTCCATGGAAACAAACCAAAAAAAAATCCCAGACTATGCCAGCTAAGAATTCAATCCACAGTGTCCTTGCAGGAGAAATAATTTTCTTCTAAAATGAGTATTGAAAGATGGGATTTGCCCTGCCTGTTTCTGAACAATTCTGCCTTCCTCCTGAACCATGACAGGAGCTCAAAGACCGCAAGGAACAGAATTTTTTATCATCATTAATATCAACAGAAATTTCAGTAGGTCTGAAGATGTCTTACTAGATAAAGCCAAAGAATCATGAATATTTGTTTGAGGATTATCACATTTATTTAAATCTTAGAAGTATTTTCCAATCCTATGCTGCTCACTCAGTTCCAACAGATTGTCTTTCGCCCCCAGTTCTCATCCCTAGTGCCATTCTTTTTCAGTTCTGGTCTATAAACTCAGCAGTGACATTTATTTCCCCCCACAAATCCTCTCCCAGGTCTCAATATTCAGTTTCCTCCTCTCAGTTCTCCTGAGGATAGACAAAGGTTCCTTGACAAATCTAAAGTGACTTTTTCGGTGGACTACAGGGCAGATAAGATTGAATTTACAGTCTTCCTTACAGACACAGAGTTTGAAACATTTATGGCATTGAAAAGACATTCTTGTGAAGAGAAGGCTACCCAATTCCCCAAAGGCTCATACCATAATTAAACTGGCTGTTGAGCTTCTCACAGTTGATGATGTTGAAGCGATAGGGAACTGCCGACTTCATGTCACGGACCTCGAAGTAGAACCACTGGTGATGCTGGTTGCTGTTCACATCTGCATTCATAATTAGGTCATATTCAAACCTGTAAAGGAAAATAATAAAAGCAGTGGCCATGAACACCTCCTGTCTGCCACTGAACATGCTGACAGCAGGCATGCAGTCAAATTGATTGATATTTTGTGAGCATCACCATCAAACACCATTAAACACTCACACTAAAATAATCAAAACATTTTGAGCTCTGTTTTCTAATCAAGTTCCTTCCATGACATCCAGGTGTTAGAAGGAATAATAAGCTCCACATCATCTAACCTGCTTCCCTGGCTGACCCTTTCCAAACCCAGGAGAAGGCCACCATCCCACGCTGTGCCACAGCAGCAGGCAGGCTGGGACACCTCTGTGCAGGGGTACTTACTCACGCACTTGGATTGCTTTCCGAAGGTTTCCCGACTCAAACTTGGAGAAAAACGTCAGGCAGCCTGGAGCAGCTGGGCTTGAGAGACTGCTGAAAAGCAAAGCAAAGACACCTGTACCAGATTCCTTCAAAAACAAACCTTCCCCAGAAACTCTTGTATGTTAAAATTTGCTTTAATAATTTTTTTAATGAGCAAGACCCCAGGAAGGAGGAAGAGGTGAACAAATCCATCATCTTCCTATTCAATGCAGTTTTTCTGTCTACTCTTGCTTAGTAATTCTAAATCACATCTTTCCTTTTTCCAATACTTTCTTTAGTTGCTGTCCATGTTTGCTTTCTTTATTCCAGTTGTTTTCCCACTGGACTATTCCTGTTATATCATTAGTTGCAGATGGCAGCTTTATACAATTACTCTATATTTACTCTTCATTTATAAAGTTTCTTTCTCCAACTGCTTAGAAACCCTTAAATTAATCTTAAACAACTTCATAACTTTCTCCTACCTTAAACTCTCACCTCTTTTTTATACCAAAGAATGTTCTCCAAGTCACCTATCCTTCCTCTGAATGCAATTTCTTTAAATTTGGGACCCTCTCAACTGCCCGGTGCAACATCTCACAGACCACAGTTGAGCACTTAAAGCATTCACAAGGCCAATGCTTGTGGGATTTTTTGGAAGTGCTGTGTGAGTGTCACACTTATGAAACAGGGTACATCTACAGCCTGTGACACTGGCTGTGCAGACACTCAATGGGAAATGCTGCCTCAGGAGGTGGAAAAGATGGATTTATAAGTTCAGTTCCCAGCAGTGCTCTTCTCATCTTTTCACATCTTCCAAATCACTGCATGCAATGCAGAGAGATCCAGGGACAAACTACAGTCTCCTTGGTATATTTTCTTGTTCTATTTAAAAGTTATGATGCTCTTCTGTCCCAGTGACATCCACAACAAATCCTTTCCCTGCAGTCTTCTACAAGGAGTCTGCTCCTCCTGGATATTTTCTCTGTTAGGCCTTTACCTCCTGTGTTACTGCTTCTTTGCCTCTATCAGAGCTGATCAAGTAAACTCAGCTCACTGACAGCGCTGATCGTGCCCCTGGCTGCATCACTCAATCTAAGTGACCCACCTGGGATCATCTAAATCAAACACAGTTCTTCCTATCACATCTCCTGGCTGGATTAGGCGGCGAACATCATCAAGGACTTTGTCCCTGGGAAAAAGAACACAGCAAATCAGCAAATTGTAGTGACAGTGTGAGAAATATTGATATAGAGTATTCTTCTAGAAAGATTCTTAGGAAATTCTTTTTAAGGACTGGAAAGGGCTTCCATGTGCTAATTCCAGGTGAACTTTTTTCCCCATCATGAGAACCCTTCTGCTCCATCCCCATTACAACAAGTTGCCTTTTGGGTTAAATGACTGATTCTGGAAGGTTATTTATTCACTACTGGATTGTGTCAAGTTTGATTTATCCCCAGTTCTTCCCATTCAATGCCAATCCCCAAGTGGCCAGTCTTACCCTGTGGGGAAATATTTTCCATAACTTACAAATCTACTAGTCTGACTCATAGTGAATATTGACTTAAAGTCAAGCTGATTTCCACTCATTATTAAACAGAGCTTCTCTGATCCCTGAAGATGGTCAAATGTGGAATATCAGATTTTATTCCTGACCTTTGAAGCAATCATGTTATGCCTTGAAGCATGATATGATTAGTCCCATTTTAGCCATACAGTTACACATGTTGTTGTAGCCATAAAAAGAGCTTTTAGAGCAACAGGGCAAGAAGATGGCAGAGGGATTTTCCCTGTAAATAAGATTTCTAGCTTATATATTTACTGCAGAAAGAATCATTCTGCCTTGCAGTCAGAAATCAGTGGTCTTAAACACCATTTATTGATCAACTCTAAAGTTTAGCATAGAACCCACCATCTTTGCTGCCTGCTTATAATCCTCTATACCGCTAAAAAGAAATGTAAAGTCATTGAATACAGCACTACTTGGAACAAAAAAAACGTGTAGTTATAAGAGCTTTCTCTCCCAGAAAAACTTCAAAACACAACTTCCCACTCATCTGAGCACCTAAATAATGAGAGGTCCTTCCTGGGAGGACAGGATTTTTCCTGACAGAAGCAGACGTGAAGCTGCAAGAACTAAAAGTGGATGAATAAAGAGTAAGGTTGAAGGTAAAAACATATCCCACAAGAACACAGAAACTTCTCCATCTCTAAAATATACTTGTTCTCATTTGTGTTCTAACAAGGTCACAGATTCACAACCCAGCTTAGATTCCTATCACAAATACAGGTATATTGATGAATTTACCAATCAAGGAAGGCAAATAATCGGGTAGCAAAAAATTTGTTCAATAACTTCCTTAAGCCATTCAGAGCTGTTAGAGCCAGAACCTAGATAAGCCAGTTTTGAGCCCAGGAGCTCTCAACGTGGTCACTGCATTGAAGCACAATCACCTTTGGACCCCATGCTTGCGCTCCAACACGGGCTTGCTGTACGGGGGTGGCTGGTGACCCCAGAAATCCGGGAATGCCAGCTCTCTGTAGCCTGGGATGGACTTCACACATTTGGCCCTGGCTGCGTAGAAATGAGGGCTGTGGAACTGGATATCCCTTTGGTGTTTCTCCAAAAGATTTCTAACCACTTCTGAGCTCTCCAGCCTCCCTGCAGGACTAGGATTGATCGAGGCCTCACAGTGAGGGTAAAACATTTTTTTGTACCAAGCAGCATCTTTTGGGAGAGGGCACAAAGCAAACACATGACTCCTGGATGGATCTTCCTCCTCACAGAAGTCTTTGTCCTGGACTTCATCAGCAATATCTCTCTTTTCATCATTCTTATCCCATATGCATTCCTCCTTCTTTCTCCAGCTCTGCAATGGGACTTTGAAATCCTGTTCCCCTGGATCTGGTCCCATCTCTGAGACACTTTGGTTTCTCCATCTGCAGTTTGGATGTTTCACAGAAGTAGCTCTTGGAATGAAATGAGAGGGAGTGGAGGGAAGATTCTCAGTCCTGTCCTCCAAGCTCTTCTTTTCCTCAGACTCAAATTCAAGATCCTTTAAATTTAAAAAGCAGAAAAAATTAAAAGAAACAACAGACAGATTGTGCCTCCTTCCAGAGGAAACCTTTCAAGGAGGAAAAGAGGAAATATTTACACATCTCCCAAAACTGTACTCAACCAATAAAACAGCCAGAGCAAAATCAGTGCATGAACCACCTGGCAGCATTTCTTTATCCACAAAGCTGTTTCAACAGAAATCCTCAGAAACCAAAAGGATTTGATTGGAGATGACTCGCCCAGATGACTCAACCAAAACCCATCATTCAAACAAAGAAGGGAAGATATTTTACAAGGCATATTTTTTTAAGATATAAATGTTACAGGAGGGTAAAGGTTGCCAATCTGTCATGTTAAACTCTACCCCACCTTCATGCAAGGAGTAGGGTTTAATCCCATTTGGCTACTTAGGGTCACAATCAATATCACAATATTGTATGTACAGGAAATATATTAACCCAGTGATCTTTTTTAGATTCCTATTTGAAACAGGGTTTTCAGCTCTCCTAAATTCCAAAACTTGTACTGAGTGCAATGTTCCTTATTTTTTTTGTCCTAAGCATTACTAGGAAAAAAATAAAAGATTTGAACTATTCATTTCACTCAGTGGCAGTACAATCTCCTTTTCCTTCAAACCACTAGTTGACAGTATTTACTTTTCACATCTCATTCTGATTTTGATATTGCTGTTGAAATTACCAGCAAGGATACAAATTATCTGACAGATTTCTCATGTGGCAATTGATTCAATAGTGCTTGCTTAATCTACACCCAGACAAATATGCCTCAAACATCATTCCTTTTATCACTCACAATTCACACCAATAAACTACTGCAAAAAAGTTATAATCTTTGGCTTTCCAGTCCTGTAAGATTTATGGATTCACTTTTGAAATACCCGTCTCTAGCTATTACTTGTCAATACTCCCTTTTGAGTACTGCTTAAATTCCGAAATATTCATAAATAAAGGAATCTGCACTACAGTCATACCTGAAAATTCTGGGAAAGTTCTGCACACAGAGCTTCATATTTCTCAAGCTCTTGTTCTGGCCGGTCAAGGACTGGTCTTGACCTCAATTTATTCACGTCTGTCTCCAAGTCACAATCCTACAAAAGCAGAATTAGAAAAGCACGTGTATTACACCTGCCCCATGAGATGATCTCAACCATCAGTGAATTGAGGATAAAAATAGTATCTGAAACTCTCACAGTTGAAGGCTGCTGTGCATTAATGTGCAGCCTCACCCATATCAGATGTGAGAACCAAAGCCAAACTGTGGCATGTATTCAGCTATTACATTAAAATAAAAACCAAACCAAAGAAAAAAAAATGAGAAAAACAAATCAAAACAAACAAAAAAAAAACCCACAAAACCAAGCAGGAAAAGTTGGAGCAAGAGAAAAGGATGGAGACATGGCACAGATGACTGGGCATTACACTACAGCATTATGCAAATAATTCAACATGACTATGTCTCACCAAATTCCATAAAAGAAATTATTTGCTCCTGACAAACAGATTCATTTCCAAAGCTGTTATAAAAAGAAAAAAAATAAAATTGCCTGAATGCACCAGTGCCCATGGCATTTCAAACCCTGAGCCACACTTGGGTCAGAAAGCAGAGTCTGAAGTGTTGTTTGGGCAGAGATGAAAAGGCAGTGAAGACCTGCCTGGAGCATGAGGTCAATTGAAAAGGATTTGCCACTGAGAGCATAACTAATGCATAAGAAGCTTCAAATTTCAGATGGAAAAGAATAGATGGTTGATGTGGTGCTTTTTATTTTCATAGAACTCTCTGAACAGTTCCTGATGGGAGGGTAGAGCCAAGTTTCAGTTTGGTTGGTGTTGCTAGCATGCATGGATATGTGTTATGTAGCTGTGAAAATGTTTATAAATCACATCAATGCCAGCAAACATTGTGCAAAAGATCTCATACAAAAAAAAAAAGTGGGTAAGCTGAAAGTTCATTATCCATTCCCTGCTTGCTTTCCCTTTAGCGAGGGTTTTTTACAGGAGATATATGACCAGCAAACCAGACAAACAGTATTTAAAACTCATATTCAGAATAAGCTCTTAGGCAAAAAAAAAAACCCCAAAAAAAAAAAACCCCAAAACTGCTTACATCTACTTGGTAAATCCTTATGAATAATGAAATAGTTCAGAAGCATAGAGGAGCTTTTACTGAATGAATAACTAATTAAAGAAGGAGATAAATCCACTATGAGCCTTATTCCTAATGAGCATCTTGACGAGCTCTACTATTCAGATAAAAACAGCCAGACAGAGCAAGTTAGGACACTCAGATAACATGTGGGGGGGTTAACTTCCTTTTTTTTTCACTGAGTGACATCAGTTTAATATTTGAGGAGAAAAAGACACTCCCTTTTACAGAAGTCTCAATCATTTCTAATTAGACTGTATTTGCAACTTCATTTCTTTAATTTGCTTTCCCAAGCCACCTTATGTGGATAAGACTTATTAGGAGGATTCACTACTTCACATTTGCATATGAGCTTGCTTGTATTTTCACAACAAAAAAGTTTGCACCCTCATCCTCAACTGGTAGGAGTTGTTTTTTTTTGCCAGTTAGGTCACTGCAGGGAGAATGCTAAAGGAGAATTCAGAGAAGCATTGAATAATTCATTGTATTATTTTTCTGTGTGCAGCAGCAAATAAAGAAGGAATATAGGTTCAAATGCACCAGCTGTGGCTTAAAAGAACTAACCTTTTCCTTAGGGTAGGTGCACAGCCCAAATATGCTCTGATATGGGAATAAAGAGAGGGTTAGCCTTTCCTAGATGATAAATCAGTTTTCCTTAAGTGCCATTTTCCTGGCATATGCCTAGTGGATCAAAGATCCACCATTAATCCCTGACTGTGTATGTGATTCTGGGCAGTCTCTGTGCAGGAACAGAGAAGGCACCAAACCCCCTCCAGCCTGGGTGACAAGCATGAAAGTGAATAGAATAAATGCAGGGTGCTTTTTAGTCAAAGTCAGTGCATTCTCCTTTCCTTCTTTCAAGTATCCTCCTATTATCCATGAAGTGTGCTCACATGGCACCACATGTACATCTACATTGTCTCCTTAGATAGTCTTTCAGGGTGTCAAAATGGACAATGAAAAGTTTAATTTTCCAGTATGTAGATAATTATGGGAACTATGGCTCATATACCTACTTCCTCTTTACTGTCCACATCCTCGTTCTCCCAGTCTTTTTCAGCCTCTTCCTCTCCTTCACTTTCACTGTCACCTGCAGAAGTAGGAAGAGAGACAAAGGTGTTCAACCGAATATCCCTCTCACACCCTGCAGAGATACGAGTAAATTCTCCTATGTGTGCCACACAGCCCACAGCCCACCACAACCCTGATTAAAGCAAATCCCATTTGTTAATCTCATATAAATGAATTTGGCAGTAATTCTCCCAGTTTTTAAAGCTCTGTTCTCTTGGACTCAAGCACTGCCTTTCAAAACCATGACAAATGTCCCCGTGATATGGATCCAACTCATTTTACAAAGCAACACAGAGATTTTCTGCTTGGCTGCAATGATATTACAGGATGCTCTTAATCTGTATTATCTAGATTAGGGTGTTTCACTGCTATGATTGTTATAGTATTTCAGCATCTCCCACACTAAATTGAATGTAGCAAAAATTGCTTCTGTGTATCATGGAGACTTTTTCTGCAGAGTAGCTGTACTGCCTGTGCTTGAGTTCTGCTTTCCAGCAAGAGCTCCCATCTTTTACTCATGCAGCATGACTGCTATCTGCTTTTACTTTAGAAAGGGAAAAGGATAATAATTCTTGCAATTCTTTACTGAAAAAGCTGCAGGGCAGTTTTCACCCCCTGAGCAGCCAATGCACAGGCACAATTATATCTCCATCTGTTACTGGGGAGCAATGGCATCTCCAGCCTCTGCTATACTCACTCTGCTCCTTTATTTTTAATAGATAATAGAAGAATTTTTTTTTTTCTTCCTTTTCTTTGCTCCTTTCCATCTTCTCTCATTTATTCTCCAAACAGACTCTCACAGCTCAAGAAGACCTGGGAGTTATTTCTTCCCTACTGAGTGACACTGTAGTTTATCAGATTAATTTTAACCGTAAACCTCAGGATTATGCCAAGTCTTCCTTCCCCAGATTAATTCTCATGTCATGCTCCTTTTCCCCCTTCTGAACTCACCCTTTAGCCATTTACCTTCAGATCCCTCACATGGAGGTTCAGAATTGGCATTCCCAGGAAGAGGGAAGGAATAGGAACTTCTTACAGTCACCACAGGCAGATGCTCCTTGGGGTAGCATTTTCTCAGAATATGAGTTGCAGTAGTTATGATAGGATCCAGATTTTTGCAAGATAGACAGTCCTAGAAAACAAAGGAGAACTATATTAAGAACAGACTCTTACAACAGTCTTCCCTGTCACACATAATCCCCCAGAGCAAGCCACTCTTCTGGTGAGAACATAATTCCCTTTACCGCTCATGATTCACACCCATAAACTACAGCAAAAAAAGTCATAAACTTGGTTTTCCAGTCCTATAAGACTTACAGGTTTACTTTTGAAATAGTCTTGTCTAGTTGTCACTTTCCAATACTCCTTTTCAAGTATTTCTTAAATTCTGGAATATTCACAAATAAAGGAAACTGTGCTGTGATTGTACCTGAAAATCACGTGAAAGTTCTGGACATATTGCTTTATACTGTTCACATTGTTTCCCCTTCTCTTTCATCAATGAAGAAATATGACTGGAACAGCAAGGCCTGGAGTTCCTGCAGTCCATCTTTTACAGACATATAGGCTGGAATGGACCTCAGGGGACTTCCATCCCTGCATGCCATTTGGGAGACACAGCATCCCCGAGCTCTGCTCCAAGACATTGTAGTCAGAGTACAATTAAAGGAAATTGGCACAGGTAACAATAGTGCTGAAGCAATATCATTTTTAATGTGGATTAAAAAATGCTTTGTGGAGCCCATACATATGTTTTGTCTGCCAAAACATGCCAAAATCTGTGCTTCTGCACCTTCAGAACAGCTATACCTGAGTCACCATGCCAAAACTCAGAGATAAACACAGTTAACACCACTATTTCAGTGTACCAAAACTCAGAGATAAACACAGTTAACACCACTATTTCAGTGTATTCAGGATAAACAATGTATTCTCAAAGAGAGCACTCCCTCTGTACTGAACAGAGTACTCTGTTCTCTGTGGTTAAAACATTAGGCCCAAGAGCTGTTCTGAAAGATCACTATATATTACCTAGTCATAAAACAATTAATAATTGCAGTACCCCACAATTTCTGCTGCTATAATCCATAGCAGGAGATAGAAATGTAAGGATTTTTAGAGCCCAAGTATACTTTGAAGGCAGAGAATATTTTGTATTGGTATACTTTGAAGGCAGAGAATATTTTGTATTTTTGTTGTAGTATTGTGCAAGTGAGCTCCTCAGACTTTTGTTGCAAAGAAAACAAACCAAAATCCCCAGAGAACTAAAGCAAAAACTCCCTGGGACATCATAGAAATGATGTATGTCTTCATACATCACAGTGTATGTCTTCAATGTGACAGGGGCAGGGAGTTTGGATAAAGGAATGATAGTGCTGCACAAAGGCAAAGTCGTTTAAAAACAATGGGTGCAATTCTCAGAAAGCCCAGGCCCTGGATTTGCCCAAACACAGCCTCCATCAGAGCGGCTGAGTCATAAGTGCACTGTCCTACCCAAATTCACAATTTTCAGTGGTTTGGAACTAAGACTGAGCTCAGCAGAACAGGAATGCAACTTAAATAAGCAGCAAGAATGTGCTATAAGGCAAAAGAGAAATATTTCAATACCTTCTACTACCATTTCATAATTTTGCATCCCTGCGGCAGAGATAAAACAGAACAACCAAGAGGGAGGAACAGATACTTCGTGCCATTGTCTGACAGCCCATAGCCAGGATTTGGACTGGACAAAAATACCTCAGATAATCCAAACATTCAGCAGAACCAGGCAGAGGGCCAAAAGAACTTAACAAAGCACAAAAAATGACCATTGGAACACAGCTCCTGCCTGACTAACCTGATCTCCTTCTAGGAAAGGGTGACACTGTTTAGTGATGGACTTGACAGTGTTGGGTTAATGACTAGATTTGATCTTAAAGGCCTTTCCCAATCTAAATGATACTGTGATTATAAAGCACTTTATTATAAACAGGAACAGGAAAATGGCTGTATTTGGGTTCTTTTGGTTGTAGAGGATCCTATGCTGTTTTCTCATGTATGATTGAACAGCATTATAAGATTCAGTGGGATTAACCAGGATTCCTGTAGGGAGGCTAGAAAAAAATCATCTAAAGCTGACATGCTTACAAGACTCACTACAAGAATTTTAATATGTATTTCTAGTTCTCTGGCTGTTTGGAACTAGGGGGAGAGAAAATAAAATTATGAAAGCATCTCTGAGGAAAGTTTTATTATGGGTAGAGCAAACACCAAGGAGAACTGGTTGCTATTTCTGTTTCACTTTATTCACTCCTTCATATGGTTGCCTTTGTTTGCTTATTATTAAAGGAAAGATTAGGAAAGTTTGTCTACATGTGGGAACAGGCTAATATTCTTAACACTCTACTAGTTTAGTTTACTAAAACTGATCTGTTTTTGCTAAAACAGTGAACACAGGACTGTTTAATTACCTGCCTTGGGACAACCATCTTAATTCAATGCCAAGTGAATTTAAATAGTCAAGAACAAGGCACGTTCATCCAGACAATGAACTTCAACACATGGAGTTACTCAATGATGCTATTTGAAAGTCATATTTTTCTGTATGGCAAATTAGCTCACAAGTGCAAACAAGCCTTCAGGTACCTTAGAGGGAATTTGTGGGACTGTTTTCATTACTGCTCATAAAGTGCTCTCTGATTCTAAGGCAACACTGTTTACAAATGACTGAAAATTATTACATCAGAGTATTGGAAAAGCCCTTTTTACTGGCACCTGGGAAGCAGACAGTAGACTGCTCTGTATGTGTGTAAGCTATCCCATTTATTTTGTGGTGGGATAATGTGAATAAGGGAAGAGTAAATCCTTAGCTCAGAAAACTCATGTAAAGCTAACCTGGATTCAGATCTGGTTTATAATCTCTATATTCAATCTTTTCTCCACTGAATCTGGAATAGAACATGTTATGGTATGTGATATATATTTTTTAAAAAAGGAGTTTTCTATATGGCAGTAAGACAAAAGATAGTGGTACTGATGGATGCTCCTTACTGGCAAACAGAGAGTGGAATACAGGATAATATTATCCTAGAGTAGTATGGGAAGGCAACAAGGCAAGCTTAAGAAACCAGATGGAAAAGTGATAAAATATCAAGATAACATTCCATGCAGCAGTCTCTCCTAAAGCACATACAAACCTGTTTTCTTGTCTCAGAGTAGGCAGCTCTGCCACTGCACACAAAACCAGACAGTGCTAATGTGAATATACCATTTAACTGTCAGGAAAATCTAAGTGCAGGTAGGAAAAGGGAATGGGAACAGAAGGTACTTCCTCTCCATGAATGATTTCATTATCTAAAATTATTTTTTATTCCATGTAGAAGCAGAATTCAAAATACCTCTAAATTCCCCTATAATATCTCTAAACTCTCCTCAAATAGACTAGCAGTCACTTCTAATCTATGTGAGGTGACAGTTTTTGAACTATTGGCTCCTCCTGTAAAGAAATAAGCTTAAGGGCTATTAAAAGCTCAAGTATTTCATCTGTCCATCAGACCAGACAATAGGCAGCCAGAGAGGTTTCAACTGAAAACCAGCCTTGTAAGTAGAATTTCCACTGAAGTTTAAAACAAACCCATCTAGGCAATACTGTTTTCATTTCAATAAATGTGTCTGTATAAGAAAAAACAAACAAAGCTTTAAAAGTTTCAGCAGAACTTCTCTAGCCAGATTTTAACACCTTAAAAATCTCATTAGCTGCTCAGGGTTTGGTCCAGGTTAATCACCAGAGCCAGCACATTCTCTAAAGGCACTAAGATACTGTCCACACACAAAGTCATTGCTTTCCCAGTCAGGAGCTGTTTGGCTTGTCCTGTCTCCATCACTTTTTCTCTTGATACAGCCTGTTGTCCATCTCAGGAGACAAGATTTCCCATCTTTCTATCATGAAAATGATGAAGATTTTCTTGGCAGCAGCAGCCTCTACCTCCGGTTAGAGTAGGGAAGAGCGTGAGTGAGACCTCCCAGGGCTGCCAGACTCCTGCCAACACTTCATGTCTTGGAGAGACACTGCAAGACTGACAATATCCCAAAGAAGCACTGAGAGAATATTGAGCTTTGAATTTATTAACCTTGGTTATTTCTTGTCCAAGGTCTCCCTAATAGCACACATGGGGTAAAAAAGCAAACTGGAGGCCCCTGCAGCTGTCATTTCCGCTCCACTTCTGACCTTTGGAAGGATTAACATTATCAGTGTTTTCTGGAGCCTTGGTATGTCATTTCCTGTTTGTTCACCCAAGGTGACCCCACATTTGCACTTCCCATGGAGTTGCTCCCAGGCTGAGCTATCAGGAGGCGTTAGCTCAGAAAGCTGCCTGGGCTGTGGAAGGCTCTTGAGAGGGAACAAGCCAACATCCACCCTCAAGCAGCTGTTTCCATCCACCCTGTTCACCTTTCTTCAGACCAGGGACTTTTCATTAACAGAGGTCATAATCTCTTGGGAGGTTCTGCTGGCTCTGGCCACCTCATCCTAAAGAAAAGGTCAATTCTTCATGAGGAAAGTGAAGTGAAAAAATTCCAGAAGTCTCCCATACACTGCTGGTAAGAAATGACTCACAGAAGAATCCTTCATGACAGTGATGGAAAAGGGGAAGAAAAACACACTGAATCATAAGGCAATGGATTTTTTTTTTAAGGGAGAAGAAGACAGACATTTCTTTCTGATGATTCTAGAGTGAGATAAGGCATAGCCAGTGAAAATGACAATGGAAACACTCCTATGGAGTCACACAGGTGATTTTCTCTAAATTCAAAGCAAGCTAAGGAAGAATTTTGCTGAGAGACTGAGGGAACTCTCAATGTACCTGCCTTTTCTATACCTTATAGGCAGCCCATCTGCAGGACCATGGCATCTTTCTTGAGCTTACACAAATGTTTCACAGGATTAAATTTTAACCTTCTGAAAAAACTGATGATGGACATTTCTCATTAGGAAAGGCCTGGCAAAATGAGCATTTTATTTAAAAGGCTGATTGAGTGGAATTATCTGGACATTGTAAAGGAAAAACTTGCAAAATACCTAAGCAATTCCTCTGCAGAGATATTGTATTACTCTTCAGGAGAAGAAGTCCAAGCAGGCAGCAGGATGCGCAGCAAAAGAGAAAAGAAGCAGCTAGAAGAACTAGAATTCCCATGCATCTCATAGGAATTAAGATTTGTTTTAAACTGAAACATTTCAGCTTTTCTAAAGTACCAACTCTGTAAAAGCCAATAATTGTTAATGTTATCAGTTTTTTCATCTGTATGTCCTATCCTGAATTTAGATAACGATGGAATTTCTTGCAGTGGGATGTAGAACCCAGCCCTAACCACCAAATCACCTCATTTAAACACAAAAAGCACAATTTACCTGCACACTTGTGAAGAGAATCTCCATTCCCCGGGAACCAAAGAAAGTCTCCCTACCCAGCTGGATGTTGGTGATGTATTTTAGGCAGAGCAGAAGACCCCTACGAATGTAAATGTAGTTGTTGGAGACATCATTGCGATGCCAATCTTGGTAGAGTCTCAGCAATTCACCCAGGTAGCCTCTGTTCACTGCCCGGCGGCTGTTTGACTCTGAAAAGGAGAGAAAAGGCTGAATTAAAACTCCTTCCTGTTTGGTAATTGTGACTTCTCAGTGCTTGAACTCAGACTTTAACACCTGCTCATTCTTGCTTAGTGGTCTCAGTTAAAAAAAATAAATATATTTTTATCTTTTTTTATTATTTAAAATGTTATTTGCCAAACATGACCTATGTTCTTGGAACAATTCATGAAAAAAAACAGAAAAACACAACAGTGTCCTGTCTGGAAACAGGAACCCTCCAGATGAACCAAACCATAAGTCTTTATCTCCTTCCAAGTGCTAATAAACCTAATTCCAGCTGCAGCACCACAAGATTTCCTGAAGCTACCAAAGCTCCTGAGGAGTGAGAAAAGCTGAATAAAGTAAGAGTAGTCAACAGCATAAAATCTTCACACAGTGCTGCACTTCAGTCCTGAGAGAACACCTTGCTGAGATCAACAAATTCAAAAACCTTATGGCTGTACAGTCCTGTCACAGCCACAGAAATTATGTTTAACTTCTAAATGTATTCCCACAAATACCTGTATAGTGAAAGCCATGAATCAAGTGATTCTGGAAACTCAGAGAATTTAAAAATTAACAAAACACCAACATGAGAAATAGGAGTTTGGGCTTCTTTTCTGTTGCTATCAGGCTCTAAGATTTTAAAGGTCACATTCAGATAATGTTTAAAGGCTTTCCTTCACAGACAAGAAAATTACAAAAAAAATATTTTTTAAAAAACAAAATTTCTAAGAACATAAAATGAGATCTACAATATTCCCTTAATCATGTAGCTCCAGGATATCAGACTGAAAGGAGATAAAGATTATGATCTAATACAAATTCTGCAGAGGTTCTAAAACACATCCCTTCACCTACTGCATTCTTTGCCCAGGCCCTCAGGACATAAAAGCCATACCAGACTCCAGGCTCCCTCCCTTCAAACCAAGCCTGCCCAAATTTTCCTGACTGCTGCTGACATTCCTTGCCTGACACACATTAAAAGCTGTCAGGAGCTCAGTTATGAACTGGGGGGCCCGAGTAGCATATGTAAAGGCAGGAGCTCAGCTCTCTGAATGCCAATCAGTGCTTGCAGCTCACAGCAGATGGCTCTTGCCACGGCTGCTCCAGAGCCAGTGGGCTCCAATCCCTTTCCACTCCATTACAGTGCCAGAGCCTCTCACACAGGCACCTCTAAGCCAGCAGTGGGGACTCCCGGGACAGGAGAAGCAGCTAGAGGTTCAGTGAGAGAATAGAAAGATGCTGCCTGAAGAAAATCATCAACAGGAGAAGCCATGGAAGGAATGAGCAGGAAGCAGCATGGGCAGCAAACCTCAGTCCCAGTGATGAAGTAGATGGAGACATTGGAAAGGGAAAGTCACCTGAAGTCATCTCAGTCTGCTCTCTGCTGTAGATTAGCAAACCCTTACCTAGAGGTGGGATTGGAGGGTTTTTCTTCTACCTGGCCTGGTCCTGCAATTTTCTCTACCTTTGGCACCAACCAGCACCCCCAGCCCAGGTTGCCAACTCATTTTAATGCTGCTCTGCATCTTGACAGCACCGTGCTGTCATGGCCCTGCACTGACCTGCTGATCCCACAGCAATTCCAGTCCTACACGGCTCTGCCCAGGCTCCCACACCGTGGCCTGCAGCTCTCCAGCTCTGCCTCCCCTTGCTGGTAACCACCTACACTAACTCTGCATTCTGAGGCTCAGTGGTTGTCAGCGTGGAGAAGGTCACCCTCCTCCTCTGACCTTCACCCTGAATTTCTGTTTTCTGTTTGACCCTGTGAGAAAACTTTAATTGCTCGAGAATCCCTTATCAATCCCAATGATTTTATTCATGATTTCCTGTTAATCCTCAACCAGCTGTCATGTTTACTAACCTGAAAGATGACTAACCCCTTAAAATCACTCAATCTTCCTTGAAGAATTACTCAGGAAGCTCTGTAAAAGTCAATAAGTGTATAAAACATGACAAGAAGAAGAAGAGAGTTGGGGAGCATAAGGCAGGGACAATTTAGATCAGACTCAGAGCTTCCCTGAGCTGTTCAGGGACAGATGAAATTGGACTAGATCTAGGGTTTTATAGCCTCTAGCACTCAGAGCTTGAAGTCTAAGTTTTCTGTGTCAATGTCAATAGGAAGAGGGAAAAACTAGGAAGTACTGTGTGTAGAGCTTCTTGGGGAATTTATTGAAAAAAAAAATTCACTCAGAGTATGTTTGTTTCTGAAGCAGATTTCCACATTTGAATCTCAGCTCCATAGGGACCAGAACACACAACTGTCCTATGCTTCAGTTTCAATACTCACTGGAAAGCATGGAGGAAGGTGAGCAGAATAATTTTGCCATTTCCTCACATGTTTTCTGTAGTACTTACCACCTTCAGGATCAAAACAGTCTCTTTTTAAAATGAAGCTCAGAGAGTCTATTCTGTGAGAAAGAGATGGAGAGGCAGGACTGGAGTTTCCTGAACCCTTTGATCAGAAGCAATGAGAATTAATTGCTGAAGGGGCAAAAAACACATTCATTTTGTTTCTCCTGTCTGATTTCATTGATTCTCCTCTGCTCTCCTGTGCTGTCAGTGTTTTTCTTTATTTTTTCTGCCATTTTTTCAGTTCTACAGTCAATAAAGTAGTGAATAAATGAAAGAGGAAAGTATGCCAAGATCTCCAGAAGGCAGAATGGGGAAAAGGAGGCCTCCCCACCTGTCTGTGTCTGCTGGTCTCTCCATCTAGGGATGCACCAGCATGGGTATCTATCTATATTTTGGCACAAATACAGATGGTGAAAATGAATCACACAGGTACAAGCAGCACTGCACAGATTTGTAGGCAGCAAGAACCACCCCTCCTGGAGTGAGTGTGTACGATCTGTGTGGTAAATGGCAAAATGTCCTGTCTTTTGACCCTCTTCCTGATATTCTTTAGTTAGGCCCCTTCCTTCTCCCTGGCTATGGCAAATGGAAATGGAAGTTTTCCACACAGCTTTTGGAGGTGCCCAGGGATGGTGCTTTCAAGTGAACAGAAGGGATTCCTCCTCTCTTGTGAGGCCAGCAGTGGGAATTCAGCACCAAACCCCAAAAAACCTGATTTGGCTACAGACTGGGCTGATCAGTGCTGCATTAACAGCAAAAATCTGACTATACATCAAACACTTTAAGCTATAAATATCTGCAGCCATCAGATGAGCTCTCCCTCTGGAGCAGCTGGATGTGTGGCACTGACCTCCCCTTGAGCAGGGACAGCTCTCAAGGTTACCCCTCAAGGCTGAGGGATCCCTTCCTTGCCTGACACCAGACATGGATGGCTTGGTAAATGACATTTTTTGTACGTGTGTGACATTCAAGACATATAGTGAACTTATGTGCTCATCTTTGGATCCCATTCTAACCTCAAGTGTAGTAAATAGTAGAGTGTTACCCTCCAATCCATCTGTACTTAATAAATATTTTACCTACCCATGTTTATTTATTAAAACTAAACTAACTACTAGATCAGATCCATCAGAGCAATCTCTGGCTCTTGCCCTGTGACAGTCTGTCTTCCTAATCTTATTCTGCCACCTCTGACAGGAGAGCACTGTCTTTCCCACCATCCCAAACCTGTCCCTGCAATCCTATTTTCTTTACAAGAGTTTCACTTCTGCCTGGTGAGACCAGGGTAGAAGGAAAACTTTCAATGCCTTCTTAGTTTCTCACATTTCTAGAGCTGCCCCTCCTTTTGTAGCTTCCAAGGCAGTGCTGCTCATCAGTGAAAGTTTGACCCTGAATCACCTATTCTGCTCCCAAAAAACATCTGATATGAATCTCCAGCCAACAAAGAAGCCTCAAGTGGTTAAAGCTACATCTAAATTAGCAAAGGGATCTCACTAGAAAGAAAGCCCCAGTTTTGATGGAATTCTCGTTCTGTGGTGGAGGTCTAAAGTCAGGTTTTCAGTCTGAAAGATGAAAGCCTCATGACCACCAGTGCTACTGTGGACAATTCTGAAGCCCTGTTTGCCATCCAGTCCCTTCTGAAGTGTTTGCCAAGAACACGGGTACCACTGGAAAACATGCAGCATATTTAATCACAAAACTGAATTACACTCAACCTGAAATATGATGAGCAATGCACTGCTTACCAGGCAGAACAAAGAGATATTTATCTTTCTGTCTATCTGCTTGAATCTCTTTGTTGATGCCACTCAGCTGATTCATTATGCCAAGAACATACATTGCTACAGCTTGGAGATAAGAATACTCTGCTAAATTAACCCTATGGCCCCTAAAGCAGTGAAAAGAATAAGAAAAACTCCCCACTCTGCTCTAGTGATTGCCTCTTGGGAATGAAAAATGCAAGATATCTCCTACAGCAAAGAGAACACAGATGTTTTATTCGGTCATTGAGAGGCCATTTTTGCAGAGAAAAGCACAAGGGCTCTCCATAGAAACAAAATTAATTGTCCCCATGAAGAAAGAGAGTTATACATTAAGTCCTGGGATCCCTTCAGACCCAGCGGGCACTACAGAAAAAAGGTGCTATTAGCTCAACTCCTGTTGGAAGCCAGAAGACTGCCCCATAGTTTTGCCCTAAACAGTTTCCCTTTTTACATTTGATTTCAGTCTCACAGTATCTCCTGGTTGCAACTCATCAGAAAACCAGAAATAAAATTAAAAACAAAAATACAGTTGTACAAAATCTACAGTGTGATTTTTTTCTGACTGAAGTGGTTTGAAAGAGTTTTAATAAGGATACCAGAATTTGGAAGACTTCCTCAAATTCAGGCATTGAATTTTCTGAAGCCAGATCATCACTGAATGTACAAATACTGCCCATGCCAAGACAAGGAGGTAAACAATCATTACTAAGGATGTAAACAGAGAATAATGCAGCTCCTCAAAACCTAGTTTTCATTGCAGCCACCCTGAGAGGAAGCTGCCATGCCCCAGGAGATAAAGCCAATATTTTGCTCTGGAGCACTGAGTTACTTTCAGTTTTGGATATGTCTATGAATGAAAAGTCTTGGGG